CTACACAAGAGCTCTCTGCGCATGGCCGTGCCTAAGTTTGAGCTGATAGACAAGAGAGAAGACACCTGGTCAACAGCACCCTCTTCCCCGCCAACACATATCTGACCGAACAGTTGAATTTCACCGTCACTCTTACGGCCCACTCACAGCCACAAATCAAACTACGAGGTGCGTTTTTCCGGCAACGAGTCGCGAACCACATATCTTCAGATTCCCAGTCCACGCAAGCTAACTACTAGGCCACTATATATGTGTTTAGAGTTTGTTTCGTAGAGCCGGTGAAACAAGAAGACATTTTCACGTGCACGCTTCAAATTAAGGTTATGAGTTGTATGATAAATCACCCGCTGAATGCGATTCACTTCCTAGTTTCAACATTCAGGTCACCGCTTAAAATGTTTGTTATACATCCACTACTTCTGTGAGGTTAATTGAATGTTTTTCCGTGTATATCTGTGATAAACAAACGACCAACGTCAGAAGAAAGCTCCTTTGTGATTTCATTTTATGATAAAAGGAGGTTTGTTAGCGAGGGTATAAGTACCCCGAATTTCTTACCAACACGATTGAAGTGTCAGCCTCTCCTCCCAGTAATTTACAGACGAAATCTTCAGCATTTGAAAGTACACGTTAATAACTAATTCTTTTACATTTCGCAAAAAAAAATCAAGTTATTCAATTTAAGTTTCGTTTGAAAAAATTTGTTTTTAAGGTTGGAATGGAATAAAAAACAATAACTTGTCCGTAACGATACATCTCCCGATGGGATAGCAGTAAGTTTATGGACTTACAACGCTAAAGTCCGTTGTTCGATTCCCGACAGTGAACACAGAAGATAGCCCATTATGGCTTTACTCTAAATTAAACAATCAATGAATCAAACCGTAATGATATTATTCATGATGCCGAATCCTTCTTTGCTCAACTTTGATCAATACAAGCGTATCTACTGTAAGGACTTGTTTTCTGGAACTTTATTATCAGCCAATTAGACAATATTTGAATTTCATTTTCTCTAAAGTGAACGTTCTTTGGATCCTCTAGTAATTTTTCAGGTTTCAAAACAGACAAATTTTGAATGAAAGCGTTGTTATCTGATGCTCTTTCTTCGTCTGTGCTTTTATTAGCTTTGTTTGAGGCAATTGTGAATAGGTTTGTCTTCATATTGTCAAATTTTTCCAGTGCTTTATGGGTTGTTGTTTTTAAACATGAATAGATGGAAAAATAGGCGTACGCTTATATTGATATTATATATCTCTGTGTATTTAATTAATACAATAGGCTTCAAGTAAAGTAAACAAACTCGAAATAAAGAAAAATATTTATTTTTCAAATACTAATTTGTAACAAAGAAAAGATGAATAGTCCAGAAAAAAAATCTTGAACAAAATCTCTAGATAGATATGATTAGAAAGAGAGAATCAACGAATATATATTTGTTGAATAAAGCTAAATCTCCCAGACAGCATTTGTGATCCACGTTAGCTGATCACCCATTAATAGGAAAATAGGGAAGACAGGTATTTCTAAACTTCTACAAGAGAACACATTAGCACAACTTTAAGTAATCACCTAGAGTCACCTTTTTTGGAAAATTTCAGAAATGTCAAAAAGTTTCATGAACCTTATTAGTGTGTAACAAGCATAAGAATAAGGGTACTTCCTTTCAGAACTTCGTTGG